ATGTTCAACGCCAACTGTTGCAGCTTTTGACTCAATTGACATTGTACTTCATCTTGAAACCCACAGAAATTACACATGCGACACAGCGAATGTCTACACCGATGGTTACGCAATAGTTGCAATGTGCTGGTAAAACGCCCGCTTATAAGCGTGTACGTAAGCCGTACTTTTCATGTTTCATAGCAGAAATGCTGGCAGCCTGTGCAGTAAGCGGATCAGTCATGTGAGAAAAACCAATGAGCTATTAAATGGCCCCGAGGCCTTTTGATAGCTCTGTTTTCCTATCTATAGGTATAGATTATTAGATTGAGACTTCATCTTTCTTGAACACCAGAGAAATGTTAACATCACCCGGAGATAGGTTCACACTGCAAGCCTGACCTGTCGACTTTGAGCACGGATCCTAGACACCAGGATAAACGACTATTCTGAGCTCTAGTACAAAATGCACTCAGTGGACTTGCCTTAATTGGTTAGACGCGTGATAACGGGCATTAATACTCGTTGGCGCGAAATCGCGAATTTTCCAGATGTGCCATTGTGTTGGGTTTTTGCACGACATCTAAAACGGAAATATTCATAAAACTGTAAGTAAAACTACTTCTTATTTAAGATGTAATTGTTCCAAATTATTTACAAAATAAATACTTCAGGATATAACAGATGGTATTGTGCAGTTTTTGTCGTCATAGATGAAGTATTTACCCAGGAAAAAAACGTCAAATTTCAAGGAGAACACCGTTTACCCAAATTTCGTTTCTAATTAGGCTTTTATTAAAAAGGTTTGGAGAGATAGGATGCCGAAGCGATGAAATAAAAGCGACATTTCATTGTTCATCTTAAAGCTAAAGATATTGTGCTCGGCATTACCATGGTTATGTAGTTATCACTTATCAGAATTCAATAATAAAGACCAAAAACGTAGACTCATGAATATTCAAAAATTTATTTCGCTGGATTGACAGACTTCGAGGCCAGATCGGGCGAAGAGCTTTGCAAATCCGAAAGCCACCGCCCGCAGTGGTCTTTGTTGAAAAGTAGTCATGGTATTTGCCACCAGTACAGGCCGTTATCCACGCGTCTAACCATAGTCAGGTGGCTTAGATCTAATTTTCGTCAAGATCGTGACCGACTGGTCCAAAGCACCAAACTTGGCAGATATATTCTTATAGACCTAGAGAAGATATTTAGAAGGGGTGACACCTGAAATTCTTTTAGGAAGGGTGCCTAATTTGCATAAATCGTTAATCCCTGTCGTGTAATATATTTATTCCCATATTTGGGTATATTTCATTTTTTTTATTTGTTTGAAAAGTGTATTTTGGGGATTCAAATTCACCAAGTAGCTTACTGGTACATCTACCCTATTAAAACCTTATGCAAAATCATGTGAACAATGATAACATTGTGATATTAAGCCCAGAAAACAAAAACTGGGAAAAAACGAGGTGTCCATAAATTAGGCTAACAAGTAGGTGAAGGGTTGCCTAACTGGAACAAGTTCAAGGAAATTCCCCTAATTATTGTTGAGAAAACGTTTTGGCGTAGACAAAATTATTGTAAAAAACAATAATCTCTTATTTAGTGGGATTTTGTTGAACTTGTTTAAGTCCCCACGTTACCCTTCCCGTACTAGCCCAATTTACGGACACCACATTTTCTCCCCTTTTTTGGTCTTTTGGGCTAAACATCAAGATGTTATCAATTTTCACTTGATTTCCCACTTGTTTTTGTTAGGGTAACTATGCCAGTAAGTAAGTTTGTTAATTTGAAGCTCATCAATACCCACGTTTGGCGAGACTAGTTGATGATATCTGAGGAAAAGGTAAATGCGCGTAACTTTAGGGTAAAATAGTAGCAATTTTGGTTCTTTACTATGTCCTCCTAATTATTCAGTCACTTATATGTTTTACAAAATGTTATTGAAGTAAGAATATGCAAGTAGAATCACCAAAATACACTTTTCAAAAAAATAAAAAAATAAAAATATACCCAAATATGGGAATAAATATATTACACGGCAGGGATTAACGATTTATGCAAATTAGGCACCCTTCCCAAAAGAATTTCAGGTGTCACCCCTTCTAAATATCTTCTCTAGGGCTATAAGAATCTATCTGCCAAGTTTGGTGCTTTGGACCAGTCGGTCACGATTCCGACCATATGCCACCTGACTACCAGGACTTGGGCCGAGTCGTTAATCCTTGTGTGTAGGATCTGTGAACCAATGAGCTATTATAATGGCCCCAAGGCCTTTTGATAGCTCTGTTTTCCTATCTATAGGTATAGATTATTAGATTGAGACTGCATCTTTCTTGAACACCAGAGAAATTTTAACATCACCCGGCGATAGGTTCACACTGCAAGCCTGACCTTTCGACTTTGAGTGTGCTTTTGAATGGTGCGTACATAATTTCCAGTGTTATGTTAAACGTTATACAGTGATACCCTTACATTGGGCGGTTGTGGAATTTAGGACACATCGGTCTTTTTTATTCTTAAAAAGGAAAGAATGTTGCAACCTGACGCCACTTCAGCGGTTGTGTACAAAGTCTATGGAGAGTCAAGAAAATTGTAAGTATTTCCTAACAAAATTGGAAATGTTTCTCAGTCCCAGATTCATGTCTTATCATAATTTTTGCAATGATTGACCTTCATTATAGATGATATATGAAGAAAACAAAGTGTCGTCAGGTTGCAACATTCTTTACGTTTTGGATTTTCAATAGCCCCATAAATGTGGCCAATTTACTGGACTACCTCCGTAAATAAGGGCCACACTTCCACCATGTACAAAAACACGTCGAACTTTGTCAAATTTTGATTTTCACATTTAGGCTTAGTTTGTAGTTTTTTTGCTTTAGAAGCATACTCACCCTCTTTATAGGCTAATCAGAAAGTGCTGCCTTTTTCAGATGTCTAATTTTCGTGAAATTTCATTTTAAAATTTTGATACGCAAACGTGTGCAAACGAATCTGGACATTTCACGAAAATGGCTGATTGGTTGCCAATCTGGCCGCCAAATCTGCTAACTTGGCCGGGAAAACCTATATTTTGGCGGTGAGTCCAAACATTTTGCCCTGACGCAAATGTTAATCTTTACCAGAAAGCACAATGTGGGCCGTTCAATGTTCCTTGTACATATGAACAAACAATTGACAATGATTGATCAACATTTTACTATTCATGGATTATCGCATAAAGCGTGATAAAAACAAATTGTTGGCTTGATACAACTCTCTGTCTTTGCAAAAGAAGAACAGATATGTTCTGTTTAGACTCGCTAAGTTCGGATGTACGTTTTTCAAGGTCATACCTTGTATCGACATACTAGCGTTTTGTTCCAGTGTGTCATTAAAATACTTAATGCCAGGAGGGGACACAAATTCCCATTGCCCCGAAAATAAGAGGGGACACTTAATGAAAATTAAGAATCTTGTAAGTCGCATTGTTAAGTGGGGTGCTTACTTTTTGTGACTTTTTGTGAATACGGTCCCTGGAAATGTGGAGGGAATGTTGTTGGGTCCGGTCCGTCCTTGGTTCCCCCTAATAAAATGCTGGTGGCCCTGCCCCCCCCCTCCCCCGAATGAAAAAGATCCTGGCTACGCTACTGATAGCAACTCAACGCAGACTATCGGGAAACCGATGCCTCGTAGAACTTGGCCTGCATGGTTGCCGATCACACTCATGTAAAGTAGTTCTCTTTATTAAGAGGTTTATATGTGTTGTAGTGTGTATCTTCTTCGTCGATATGGAAACTAAATGCGGAGTTTCGAAAGTTAGAGAGTGCTGCCGAAATTTGAAAGTTGCCAAAATGTCAGGAAGAAAACCCACTCTATCCGGTTAGTAAGTATGACGTCATTTCAACTTAAACCACGCCCATTACACACACACAGTAGTCATTGAAAGTAGTGGGCGTGTTTAGCCAATGGGATCTTGTGGTGCGTGCGCGTGTATGACGTAGTCACCTACGAACCGGATAGGCTAGTAAAGTTTGAATAGTAAACAGAAAAATTGTACCCAGTTGATAAGCTGGTTGCAAGTTTGTTAGGGTTTTCTTTTTACAGAAAATAAACAATTTAGTCGAGCAGTTTGGATGTCGGAAGTTTAAGGTTGCAGGAAATTGAACGTGTTATCTCGTGATTCTTGTTGCAAACGAACCGAGGGTTAGGCCATCAGCCTGGGGGTTTGGGCAGTATCAAATCAGGGCATAAATGATTATAATGCGCATGCGCAAGGTACACCACCCCTAGAGTGGTAAGAAGCATTATGATGGACATTTTGGGAAAAAAGGGTGATAACACCCAAAAAGCTGCCACCGCTTCAATGCTATCACATATTTTCCAACTCTAGAGGTGTATACCTTGCCAAAAATCGCTATGACGATTATTCCCCTTATTTTGATACCGGTGGCCAAAATTTTAGACCGAGGCTGATGGCCTAGGTGCTGTCTTGATCTTTTATATTTCACACCCACTTGCTACGCTACAGTGATTATGTTAGGTAGAGGATAAATGGTCGGAGGTAGAGGATAAATGGTCGGAGGATAAATGGTCGGAAAGCAGGAGGTCGTGGGTTCGAGTCCCACCCGAGTGATTTTTTCCAACTTTCACTCGGGAGGTAACACACTGAGTATACAGTGTTTAAACGTCGGTGCAGGGCAAAACCTAATTTGATTTATATCACCCCGACACAAAAAATCATTCTTATAATAGTTTACGCGGTACCCGCTGCTATGTACATCAGATTCGAACCAGCCAACCGATCCCGTTAGCTCGGTGGTCGAGTGGTAAGACATCTGCACTAGAAAGCAGGAGGTCGTGGGTTTGAGTCCCACCCGAGTGATTTTTTCCAACTTTCACTCGGGAGGTAACCACTAAGTATACAGTGTTTAAACGTCGGTGCAGGGCAAAACCTAATTTGATTTATATCACCCCGACGCAAAAAATTCATTCTTATAATAGGTCGGAGTTCGGCATAATCATCCCACGAATTATTATGGAGGGTATAATCCGACTCAAACCGTTGCCTGCGATGGCTCTACTATTATTACCCCACTCGGTTTTTTTTTCACAAAGGGAGCGTCATTGTTCACTTCAATACAATGAACAAGGGATTTCTGTTGACTGCTGAAAATGGAAAAAGAGGCGCCATGCATTTGAGGAGGTCGGCCACCTTCTATTCCGATTGTTTGTCTGGATCCGCTGGTTGGAATACATGTACATGTATCAGCGCAACGTGTCGTGATAGTTACATGAACAACAATGACAATTTGAATCTACACCATGAAAACCAGGTTGGGAGTGCCGGTTATACTTAACGATCGACTCATTTCATGTCATTATTTAATCGAATGTTGATATTTGAATATGCGTTGTTTTGTGTATTAAATCGACAGCAAAGCCTGGTAGAGTAAATTGTTTGCATCATGGCGAAGTCAGGCAGTGTGACTATCCCGGAGACCGAGCCTCCATACGGCTGGGTAGTCGTAGCGAGCAGTCACGTCGTCTTCATTCTCTGGACGGGCTTTGTCAAGACTATCGGGGTTCTCCTGCCGTCGCTGATGGACTTCTACCACACCGATGCCCTAGCTCTGGGTTGGATCACGGCTTCATTTTGTGCGACGAACAACATAGCCGGTAACATTCCTACATTTTTCTTTCAAAGCCCAAGGATTTTCCGAAAGTAATAAATGTCAGTATCTGCCGCCACTTTTTCACCCAACCTCTTTGATGCATGACTAATCATTGTAAATGATCGTGTCAAAAACTTGACTGTGGGACTGAGGAGCATTCCCAAATATTCAGGCCCGATGTAGGGTTGTATGAAGAGTAGTTTGTTATAACTTTGTATTTTAGTCTGAAGAAGCAACATGTCCCCAGTTCAATAGTTTCCAAGAAATCCATAAGTTGGAATGGAGGGCAGTGTTGTAGTCGATCAAGTCCATTACAAGTTACCACAAGACCTATGAAGTTCATCATAATAAAGTCCTCAAGATGCAATTGCTTGGTTCTTCTCGTCAATCCTTTAAGGGTAAATGGTTACATGAGAACGGGAACCCGCTAAATTTTGGCTCCCTGAATTTGCCCTCGAGGGGATCTTCGGCACTCGACACTTAGCCCTATATGCGCCTTTTGCAATGACGTGATAAATGACTTGTCATTCTAAATCTGTTGAAATTGGATCATTCAAATAAATAGTCTTTCTTTTCAAGCATCAATGTTATGTATTTCTAATATCTTGTTTTCTGTAATATCCTACGAAACTTGTTTGTGGAACAATGGACCCCACATTCATTTAAATACACTCGACCAAAAAAGAAAGTCCCCCCTTAATACTTTTTTTTGTCTAACTGAAAAACTACTGGGCACATCTTGCTCAAGGTACGACTGATCAGTACAAAACTTCCTTGGCAATCCAGCCATATTCTTTGTTTGGCCCAAAACGGTGATAATGTGTACAAAATGATGCAATTTATGACAAATGGTACCGAAAAAAAGTTGCACTTTTGTGTACGTGCAAGGTGGGTGTGAACTACAAGTTGCACGTATACAAAAGTGCAACTGTTTTCGGTATCATTTGTCATAAATTGCATAAACTAAAGAGTATGGCTGGATTGCTAAGGACTTTCTGTACCGATTAGTTGTTATTTGAGCGAGAGGTGCTCAGTAGTTTTTGAGTTAGGCCATAAAGTATTGGAAAGTGGGGGGGGGGACTTTCTTTTTTGGTTGAGTGTATAACTGATTTCTACTTTCTTCCCGCCTCTGCAGCTGTGTTTGGTAGTGTGTTGAGTATCCTCATTGGCGGTCGCCAAGTGGTCATCCTAGGCGGTCTCATGGCAACCAGTGGTCTATTGTTAGCATCAATCTCCAGCAGTCTCTATCAGTTTGCTCTAGCGCTCATCTTTCTCACTGGTAAAGAACAAGGGGGTATCGACCTTCTAATTTCTGGGGGAAAAAAAGAGGGTCGGGACCAGTTTAACCAAAGGGTTGCGAAGCTTTGAGTATTTCGTTATTGTTGTTTTTAGGTCTCAAGGATCCCAACAGATGACAAAGTGCAGAACAAAACTTAATATTAGTCAGAGCTAGAGATTCGTTCTCGACCTCAACAAAATAAGAGTGAGAGTTTGGCAAATTAAGGAGGATCGTTGTATTCCCTATAATTTCTATACTCGCTGCCATCACCGAGTTTATTTTTAAATCGTCATGAAAGTGCGCACTCATGCACAATATTAGATAAATAAAATCGTGATAAAAAGGGACATTGAGTGCAAGGAATCTGGGCAGAATTAATTCAAGCTTGCCCTTAATATCACTTCGAAAAAGTCGTAAAACTATATCGATCGGTCGTAACTGAAGCTGTGGTTGTTGTTTTGCAGGAAGTGGCTTTGGGATGGTAATGTGCGTCTGCAAGGTTCATCTTGGATTGTACTTCAACGAACGTCTGGCTTTTGCTTCGAGTATTGTTACGATGGGCGTACCGGTGGGTTTGATCATTTTCCCGGCGTTTGCTGAGCTGCTCCGCATCACGTATGGCATAAGGGGGACTTTACTCATTCTAAGTGCGCTCACCATGCACCTCGTAGCGTGTGGAGCCTTACTGCGCCCATCTTTTGGCATCAGTAGCCAACAACGAGGGGGAAACGAAGGCTATGCGCTGATAACATCTTCAGAGACCGAGAAACAATCCCATCCTTGCCATATACTGAGAACACACCTGGCAGGACTTCTGGACGTTAAACTACTAGCTAGCGTGGACATGTGGATGCTGATCGTGTGCTACACGCTGGCCTCTTTCGTGAACGATTCCTGGATCACCTTCATGGTGTCCAACGCCGTCTCGAAGGGATTCGACGATTACGTGGCGACGACTTTCAGCATCACCGCCGGTTGCTCTGCCGTGATCTTCAGCGTGCTTCAGGGCATCATCATCACCCGTGGAATCGCTGGTATCCGCCCTGTCACGGCGGTGGCCACTGCCATCGGCAGCACGGCGTTGTTTCTGAATCCCCTTCTCACTAGCTACTCGGCCATACTTGTTGCCGTCGTGATGTACGGCATATCGCTGGCTGTTCTGAACCCCAGCTTCGTCACTCTGGCGATTGAAACTCAAGGACGAGAACGCGCCTCAAAGGCCTTCGGCTGGATGGGCCTCTTCTCGGGGATTTTCAGACTCCTTTTTGGATTCTCAACCGGTAGGTGGCGTACAAAATACAACCTGGTTTCAGGTGAAGTACAATGTAATCCGAAATTATTGGTCCCGAGGAATTGGTTGAAGTTTGACAACCTTTCAATGCAAAAAGGTGGAGTAACCAAATCAGCTAACACACGAGGGACCAGTAATGTTACCGCCACTATGTCCAGAAAAAGAGATGAACTCAAGTAGCCATGCCCAAAACCAAGGATTTAATCCCTCTGTTACAACTGATAGTGTAGTAATCAATGGATAATGTATCACTTACCGATAATGTCACACAAATTGACCGATACTTGTATCAGTAACCGATAATGTAACAAAAATTGACTGATAGTATAGTAAATGTTACTACACTATCAGTCAACTTATTGTTACAATATCGGTCCTAACCGATAATGTAACAAAAATTTACTGATAGTGTAGTAAACATTTTTTACTACACTATCAGCCAAAATTGACTGATAGTCTGTGTAGTCAATGTTACGACACTATCAGTCAATTGTTGTTACAGTATCGGTCCTAACCGATAATGTAACAAAAATTGACTGATAAACATTTTTTACTACACTATCAGCCAAGTTTTGTTACATTATCGGTTATAGTGATACAGTATCGGTCAATTTGTGAGACATTATTGGTTGGTGGTACATTATCCGTTGGTTATACTACTTTATCAGTTGTAAACACCCTCAAACCAACCCAGCGTGACCCAATCCGAAAAAAGACCAGTTACGTACCAACATTATATGTATTCCTCGTGCTCTTGTCAAGTTTTATCCCGAAAAATACATTCCTTTTCTAAATTGCTAATTGTTTAAGCCATACAAAAGTTATTCACTGTTAAATGAGACATATGTACCCTTATCTACCCCGTTCTCGGCATTTAACTCCCGCCGAACAATCAGTATTAATATTGAACGGACTAGGAGCCAGTCTTCTCGCCAAGCGGATCAGTCTGAGCGCAAAACAGAAAACATTTTTCGGAGGTTTGCAGACGTAAAAAAAAAAGGGGGGGGGGAGTTGTTTCATTGGGGGAAAAATACAAGTTGAACAAAGAAAGCACCGCTCCACCGACCTGCCTGATTCCCCTTAGGATTATTAGTTGTTTCACTGCCTCCAATTTTCAGAACTTCATTTTTAAATCTACACACTTGTTAAACTAACTTTCCGTATCATCTTTTCGCATCCACAGGTCTCCTTCGCAATATCACAGGATACTACAACGCTACCTTCATCTTGCTAGGAGCTATGTTGGCCATCATTATACCTACGCTTTTCTTGGATACGCTGGTGTCTAAAATGTTGGAACATCGGCTGGCGTTAGTAAAACAACGATGATGAGGCATAGACGAAAAAACACTAGTCTTATGGCTGTATCAGTCTGGAAAGACATCTGACTAAAATGAGGGACAATTAAATAAGACGATCACACCAGGCCCGCATGTCTCTACTATCGATCACCAGCGTCCAAGACTAGATAGGACGGGGATCAGTGTATTCTCTTCGAAGTGAATTGCCAAGTCCCAAACTATTCAAAATGTGTGCATTAATTATTCAAAATTCAAAAGTGAATATCCGTTTTATTAACTCCCAGAAAGAAAACGCAATTTATGGAAATATAATCCAGTATTTTCTTGATAAAATTCGAATATAGCACGAACAGTGCATCAAGCTCATAATCGAATTATCATAATGCAGAAGAGGTGCTGTTTTTTTTGCTTAGTGTTGCTTCTGCTCTGTTAGCTAATAAGCGATGTTGTTTTACACATAGTCGTGAATCGTTGCATTTTACCACCTGCTATTTCTGTCTGAAAAGATATTTGGTTTCATTTGGGAATCATATTTCCCTTCAAATAACATTGTTAGTAGCCTTTAATTTCAAGACGAGAATATATCAAATGGAAATTTGATGATACCGTCTGCAAATTGGCATTAAGCCTATGTTGATGAAAGTATTCGTTTTTTTTTTTTACATTTTTGTTTACATTTGTTGCCCGAAGTGCCGAAGTGCCAGTAACATTAAAGATGAAAAGTGAATCAAGAATTTGGTCATCAAGCTTCATGCTGAAAAGCTTTTGGTTAATAAGCAAAATATTTCCGGTCTAAAATTTCCATACATGGAGTACGCCCTCTCCTTTAGTCTTTACGTCTTATTTTACACACAGATTGGTTTGTACAAAATAATGAAGGTTTGCACAGTGGCGCACCCAGGATTTTTGTTACAAATTTGTTAAAAGTTGAATAAAAAAAAAAAATGTTGCCCATAATTTTTGGCTGCGGAAAAAATTGGTGTTTTTTTTCAGGGGCGGCCTATTTTGACGTTTGTGGTTGGTTGGTGGTGCCACTTACACCCCTATTTTACTACTAAAAAATGGGCCACATTCATATCACCAAGGCCAAATCGTGGGACTAAAAAAATACAAAAAAAAAAGAGACAACCTCAAGGGGGGGGGGGCTCAAGCCCCCCGAGGGCCCCCGGGTGCGCCACTGGGTTTGCATGACACGAAATTTAACTAAAAATATTTTGTAAAACTATTAATGCTGCGGAATTGTATGACAAAATGGACACTTTTACCAATATCAGGGCGCAATTATGCTAGATGTTAAATTTAAGACATTTGCCCTTCGTATTTTTCTTGTATTTTTCCAAACGAGGTTATATTCTGTACATACAAGTTTTTTTATGTCTGTGTGCCAGTATAGTAACAAAATAATGATTGCGTATCAGTGGCGTATTCAGAGGGGGAGGGGGGGGGGGGGCCGAGGGGGCACTCTGCCCCCCCCCCCCCCCCCGGCGGATTTGTTTTCACAACATTTTGTGTTCAGCAATTATTTCAATAAATGATTCTAAGAGTTCTGACATCAATCACAAAAAAAGAAAACCCGCTCAAAAACCATAACAATGCGCCGTGAAAATGAGTATAATTTGCATTATAATAATGGTCAGTTTTGAAGAGCGCACTCAATTGGAAGGTGGTAACCACCCCCCCCCCCCATCCTCCCCTCCCCCGCTTTTTGATTTTACGGAGGCCAAGTGTACGGAGAAAAAAAATCATGTCTACATTTCGGAGCGGATGTGCGGTTGCCCCCCCCCCCCGACATCCAAAGCTGGATACGCTACTGTTGAGTTTGTGTACACGAGTTTTGCCATGGCCTGTGCTCTGCACGAATCAGCCCACTGTAGAAATGAATATGTATGACGGAATTTGAATAAAGCTCTGTAACCTTTGTTATTTCTTGCGTTTGTTGTCCCAGTCTAGTGCGTTTGAAGATTGCGCGGTAGTCACGTACAAGTAATGCCTGGAGAAAATGTGCATTCCCGCGAAACAAAAGAATAGGGTGTGTCGATCTCCAGCAACACACATTTTAATGGCGTAGGGCCTATAGAGGTGATTTTGAAACCAGGATTTATCTACAGACAACCGAAAACAAAAACAGGCAAGCAAGACACAATCTGTCCGGCCGTAAGTATGGTTTATTCCTACATAATATATTGGGTTTTCTGATGTGTGTAACTGTTTATCTTACATTTCGGAAAGAATGTTGCAACCTGACGCTGCTTTTTCTTCATATTATCATCTCAATGAAGGTCAGTCATTGCAAAAATGATGACAAGACATGAATCTGGGACTGAGAAACATTTCCAATTTTGTTAGGAAATACTTAGAAACTTTTTTCTTGACTCTCCATAGACGCTGAATTGGCGTTAGGTAGCAACATTTTTCCTAAATGTCCGTTGATAGTCCGGTGAGTGGTGTGATAAAAATTAAAATGATCTAGTGACGTTGTACACCAACATCCCTTATTTTCCTTGAAATGGATCTAGATGCATTCAATTATGGTGTTCATGACATATTCCCATGCATGGGCGGATCTAGATCATGTTTTTTTTGGGGGGACGGGTGGGGGAGGGGGAGTGGGCCGCAAGTAGCCCCATAAATGTGGCCAATATACTGGACAACCTCCGTAAACATAGGCCACACATCCACCATGTACACAAACATGTCGAACTTTGTCAAATTTTGATTTTCACGTTTAGGCTTAATTTGTAGGGTTTTTTGCTTAAGAAGCATACTCGCCCTCTTTATAGGCCAATCAGGAAGTGCTTTCTTTTTCAGATGTCTATTTTTCGTGAAATTTCCAGATTCGTTTGCACACGTTTGCGTATCAAAATTTCAACATGAAATTTCATGAAAATTAGACATCCGGAAAAGGCAGCACTTTCTGATTACCCTATAAAGAGGGGGAGTATGCCTCTCAAGCAAAACAACCCTACGAACTAAGCCTAAATGTGAAAATCAAAAAATTTGACAAAGTTCGACATGTTTTTGTACATGGGGGAAGTGTGGCCTATGTTTACGGAGGTAGTCCAGTAAATTGGCCACATTTATGGGGCTAGGCCGCAGGGTGACACACCTTTACGATAGCGGGCACCCCATTGTATTGTTTCACCTTTTACTGGTACAAAATGCATCTGTAGGCCTATATCACAAATTCGTAGGACACGAGTTAACTAACATTAAAAATACATTCATATTCACCCCTTTTCTGCTATAATTAGGCCTAAACAAAATGGACACTAGTTCATATATGAGCCTGGCGGCAAGATGCGAAAGGGATCTATTAAAAATGTACAGGATCCAAAATATTCGGATATTTTCTCTCAAGTTCTCTGGGATTTGTCGTAATTTTCTTTAATTTAGAGTAGCCCCTAAAATCGTCATGCATCGGCATTATTTTCTGACCTACGTGTTTTTTGGGGGCTACAGAATAAAAACTTTAAAAATTGCTTTCGCCCGTGCGAATGAGGGCGAATGAAATCAGCAGGGATCCTTTCCGCATCAGTGGCAAAAAATAAACGAGCGCCTCAGGGTACCCGCCCACCAAATTTCGGGCCAAATCGCGTTGTTGAATCGCGCCTGGCTACAACTGTGGCAATCAGCAGGGCTCCTGAAGCCAGGAAGCCAGACTCAACACCGACATTTGGTGGACGGGTACCCCGAAGCACACGGTTATTTCCCCCCATCTTCTCTGAAATATCAGGTCCACTGATCTCCATTATAAACTCTGGATAGCCCATTGGCTTTTAGAAGTGAAGTCACCATCCGCCATGTTACCACTCCAAGAACACTATATTTGTAAAGAAATATGTCTCTTTTAAAGGACATGAACTAGTTTTACTCCAAGAATGTTTGTTTAAAAAATAATAATATAATGAAAACGAAATACATTATATATCAAAAACGTTTTGTTTACTTTGAAACGACTCTATTTTAATAGTTTTGGGGAGTGGTTGAGACTGGTTCCCTTTCCACATTCAAATGGCGGGATTGGGAACCAGTATTTACATTGTCAACGTACGTACGTGCGTACGGTAGCGTGAATATCCGACCCCATGAAATGCGGACTCATTGGTGTGTATTGCGCATGTGTAAGCACGAGAATATGCTATTTTTAGGATCACATACGGGAAAGTGACCTGCCACGTGCGAGGGATTATCCAATGATATGGAAAAGGGGTCCGATTTTCATATGACAACGGCTCCAGATATATTCGGAGATCAGCTGGTCCAGGCTAGGGGGATTTCGAAACCTTTGCTTCGTCTTTGTCTTCGGCTTTGCCTCCGACTTCTGAATCACTGAGAGGCAAACCAAATGGGAATATTCTGACTTGTGGCTTCATACCAACCGATTGAATGTTCCTGAGGCAAACAGGCACCAAAATGTAGCTGGAGTTCGAGAAGTTGGGGGCCAAGACGAAGCCAAAGCCGGTAGTTTCGAAAACTCGAGGCAAACACGTTTTCGAGCCCAAATCGGTGCATTCTCTTAAAATATTGCGCCTTTTATTATTTACAGGCTGTAGAATACAGAGGTTGGATGCCCGCTGCTTCATCTGGTTAATCGTTTGGCTGAGTGAGATTCTTAGAGCACAACCGTTACCACCACCAGGACGCTTCCAGATTTCAAGAGGAAGAAACAGGAAGATTCCAGAAATCTCAAGATGACTCAGGTATACCCAGAACGTTTTAGATTTCAAGAGCGATCAGCAAGACTGAGGAAAATGGAAAAAGAATCAGGTAGCTTTCAAAATGTAAAATACACAAAACTTCCAAATGTTTCAAAATATAACCAGAAGACTCCGAAGTTTTTAAGATTCCATTAGTACTCGCTATTAAGACGCAATCAAGAATTCAGGATTTGCTGATTGCAAGATTATAAAATGTTATTGATCAGCAAAATACTCAGAAAGGTTCAAGATTTCAAGCACCTTCGAAGACTCTGGAAAAGTCCAAGATTTCAAGAGGACTCGGGAAGACTCAAGAAATTTCAAGAAGCCAAGCCTCAGAATCGGAGAAACCCAATATGATTCAGGTAGATATCAGAAAATTAAAAGTCAAAATTTGCAGCTTTTGAGATTTCAAGAAATCATCAGGAATACACAAGATGTTTCAATATTTCAAGAGGACCAAAGCAGACTCGGGAGAGCCCAATATTTCAAGAGAACTCAGGAAGACTCAAAATATTTCCAAATTTCAACAAGACTGAGAGTCGGGGAAACCAAATATGATTCATGTGAAATCAAAAAACTTAAATGTCAAGCTTACAAGATTTGCAGCTTTCAAGATTTCAGGAAATCATCGGGAATACTCGAGAGGTTTCAAGATTTCAAGAGGACTCATAGTCAGGGAAACCCAAGATGATTCAGGTAGATATCAGTACATTAAAACGTCAAGCTTTCAAGATTTGCAGATATCAAGAAATCATCAGGAATACTCACGAGGTTTCAAAATTTAAAAAGGACTCAAACAGACCAAGGAAAGTTCAAGATTTCAAGAGGACACAGGAAGACTCCAGAAACAGGAAATTAAAATGTAAAGCTTTAAACATTTTCAGCTTTCAAAATATCAAGAAATCACCCGAAATACTAAGGAGGTTTCAATATTTCTAGAGGACAAAAGAAAACTCGGGGGAGCTCAAAATTTTATGAGGATTCAGAAATACTCAAGATATATCCAGATATCAAGAAATCATCAGGAATACTTAGGAGGTTTCAAGGTTTGAAGAGGACTAAAGCCGACTCGGGAAAGCTCAACTATCAAGAGGACTCAGCAAAACTCGAGAAACTTCAAGTGGACTCATAGTTTAGGGAAACCCAGGATGATTCAGGTAGATATCAGGAAATTGAGATTTCAAGCTTCCCGCTTCTGCAGCTTTCAAAATATCAAGACATCATCAGGATTACACAGGATGTTTCAAGATCTCAAGAGGACTCTCGAAAACTCCAGAAATT